ATTTATTAATATCATATTATAATTATAAATTTATAATTTAATATAATATTATAATTCAATATTATATTATATACTAACAGCATGAATCATGATAGGATCAAAGAAATTATTGAATTTGAGGAAGGAACATAGGCCTTGCTATGGAAAAAAAAATTGTTCATAAAAAATTAGCATTTTTATGGCCAAAAAGGGATTATAATTTTTAATTTCGCCTACATCAATTTTGAATCGTCAATACAAAAAAAAAAAAAATGGTACGAATCAATAACCATACAACATATTATTAGAACTGTTGTCAAATATAGTTTCACCTAGAGTTGAGTGACTAAAAAATTGAAAATGTATCTCTTTCAATATTATGTAACTATTTAAATTTTGTTGTTGCCAACTATCTAATTGATTTAGTGACTATCTTCTTTCAGTGGAAGTAAGAGATTCTGAATTCAAGTCATATAACATGCGTATGAAATAGAATAAGAGATTAAAAATAGTTGCCTCTTATTGTGTAACTAAGATAAAAAAAATAATTTATTGTTAATTATACCGAATATGATATGTCAACATTGTATTTGTATTGGTGAACTCTTTCCTCTGATAAAATTTATCAAAGGATTTTTTAACCAATTTTATTACTATGCAACAAAGGGGTTTAAGATTTGTTGATAATTTAAGGAGTTTTTAGAAAAATTATTTTTTCCCTTAAAGTTGTTCGAATCAATTTTTTAGAAGATGAAAAATTAAAAATAGTAAGGGAAAATGGAAAATTAATATGTCTTGATATTTAAATGTCAAGACGTTTAATTATAATTATTAAATATATAAAATATATTATAAATTTTAATTTTATTAAATTTATCATATAATCATTATTAGATACCATGACATATAGATATAAGAATTAATAATTTCATTTTTACATAATAAATATTTGTTTTATTAGTAAATAAATTATGCCACAACCCCTTTCTTTTCCATCTTTTCTTTTTTCTTTGCTTTTGTATAGTAAATAGCTTTACGAAAAAATGAATAAAAGGAGCTTCGGAGAGCTGGCAGAATATTCTAGAAGATTCGAAAGTTTGTGGCAATTTTAGATGGGGAAGATGGGATCTCCTTGAAGAAATAAACTAAACATCTGTTAAAATGAAACTAATTGTAAAATATTTGAGAAAAAGAAAGGGTAAACTTTATAATACAACCTCTAAACATTCAAGAGAAAAAAAAGCTACAGTGCATTAATCCTCAATAGATATATATACAATTTAAATTACATTAAATTATACTATGCTAACTATTATATGAGAATTGAAATTTTAATATTAAAACTCTTCTCCTATCTAATAGTTCTTTTTTAACAATTTAATATAATTTAAATTGTAAACCAAAATTTTTATATACCCATATGAGTTTGCTATTTTACACTCTACCCTAATATTATAACTTTCCCCTAATTCAATAGTTCTTTTTTTTATAATCTACTATAGTTTAAATTATAAAATAAAGTTTCTATATGTATATTCACTATTTTACAGTTTACAAAATGTTCAAACTATAAAACACATTTTTCTATCCATATTACATTCATAAAGAGTTAAACCTAAAAATTGAATTAAAGGCAACAATCATCAAAGTGCTGCAACGAAAGCGTGGTGGGTCCGTAACACAGAGGTCTCAGGATCGAAACCAGGCTCTAATAGGAATAGCATTTCCCAACTATCCCATTATACCAGAAAAAAAAAATGTGTGAAGAAATGCATCCATGCCTGTGTTTCTGTGTACAAAATCAACATTCTCTCTGGTTCCCAAAGATGACTTCTCAAACAATGAACAACTGAGGCTTCACTGCAGGAAAATATTGAGAAAGCATAAACACAAGGTTCAAGGAAAACTCAATACATGATAATAAATCTATGGTCTCACAAAGCATACCTATCTCTGCTGATATACAGTTTCGGATGTTCAAAGAGAGAAGCCATGTCAAATTGAAGCCAGTCCATTGCTTGACGCTTGAGTTTGCCTTATCCAGTCCAGAATATCAGAATAGTCTTCATGGTATATAAAATGCCTTCATTCAAACATGCCCCTTAGCTTATAGCACGAATTTGCACAGGTGGAAAGGTGTGCTTATAGATACACATTTGGCTACAAATTATGAGTGTATGCAATGATTAGTAATTTATGAGCATACCTGTTTTTGGGACGGTATGCCTTCAGTTTGGAAACTTCATGGCGGTTTGATATGTCTTTCTTCATTTGAAGTGATTGAGGTACAGACAAAGTTCCAGTCTTAGCATGGTATGCATCACAAATGAAGTTAAGAACCTCCTCCT